TTTGTATGGGATATAATGTCTACCAGAGTCCAGGGTTACTATTGTTTATCTTTTGTTAGGGTAAAAAAGGGAAAAACAAATATCTTAACAATTTTAACTAATTCCCAGATTTAAAAAAATCCCAAACACTTGTGAGTTTTTTACACAATGTTGTCTGTAGAACTGCATCCTGTAGAGATATATCTGTATTTATTTACTCAAAACACTTAACACTATGTTTGTTTAACTAATTTGAAAAGGTTACTTAGTATAGGTACTATAAGATATGAGAACAACTCTTCTACTTATTCCATTGTGGTAAAAAAAAACTTTAATCTTGTAAAAATTTAAAATATACGTTAAAAAACTTTACAGGTCCACAATTTTTTAACCTTTTAACCAACCTACCTATGTACCTGTTGTGTTAAAATTTTTAATTTCATGAGTACAATTTTTTTTTCAGAAACATATTTGGATAACACAAAATTTGTTGAAGGAAAATATGAAATATGTGCAATTTGGGAGGTAGAAAATGAACAAGTTGGTAGAAAATGTGTAACAGTGGTGTGCAAAGAGAAAAATAAGTCGGAACATAAACCAGACTTGATAGTCTCGTAAGTGTATAATAACATACAAGGGAGAATCAAAAAGTTGTGGTTTGATCCTGGAAAACAGTCAATATCTTTCTGATTGTTTGAAACTGGACCCAGTTGTTCTCGATCTTTGGTATTTTATTAATAATAAGACAATTTAGAAAGAAACGTTTCTCTCTGATGAGGCTATGCTATGATGTTATTTTTTAAGTAAAATCTGTTTGGTTTAAAAATGGTCGAAATGACTTTCATGACGAAAAAGAGAGTGAGACCTTAACATTGTCCATAGTTGGGAAAGTTAGTCAAAATTTCTAACTAGTTAGAAGTTAGTCCCATATAAAGTAACTGATAGAAGTTACTAGTTAGTTACTTTAAAAGTCACTGATAGAAGTTACTAGTTAGTTGAAAAACTAACTGATAGAAAATAAAGTTAGTTTTCGACATTTGTAGAAGATAGGCTAGCTGTTTGTTGGACGGTTGTTTTAAAGGGTTTCATATGTAATGAAATAATGACACACCTTGGTTACTAATTATTGTGTTTTAATTAAATATTAATTAAACATTGTCACATTTACATTACATGTAATGTAAAAACATTCATTACTACAACAAAATTTACTTTAAATGCCTATTAAACTTTAAAAGAAGATGTTTTCAAAATTGGTGTCGCTGATTCTTCCTCGTCTGTTACTCTGTTAGTGATGACTAGGCTTGCCGCTCTGAACAGGCGTTCGCAGTGAACAAAGGTGTTTTTTAACTTGTAGATTTATATTTGTAGTTATCTTATTATAATGTATTTGTTTCATGACTAGTGAATATTTTGTTAGTAAATTTATAACTCATAATGATTTACACATTAGTTTGCCGTGAGTGAATACTGAGGTAATGTCAGTGTGGTAGACACATCGGCAACGTCGCAGATTCGCACGTGCTCCCGCCCGGCTGGGAAATATCGTACACCAGGCGGCCCCCTACCAGTCATGGGAGACATTTTTGTCTACAAATATAAATCTCTTTAAAAACCACATTTGTTCGCATTATAAAATCTGTCATATTGGTGTTATTTCTTGTGTCACGGCAAACACGATGGTATTTTGAACAAAATTTTCAGTGTCCTATTAACGATGTTAGCATACGTTTTAAAAATTAACAGCTAGCAGCATAAAAACTATTGTGAATAAAATTTTTTAAATGAATGGAAATATTAACAATGAACCTACCAATAAGCCATAAAAATTTATGAAAGATTGGCTCAGTGGTTTGTATACAAATAAATTTTAAACTTCAGTGTTAGTGCAGAGTTTCTTAAAAACCGGTACTTTTTAGGATCTTTCAACTATATAAATTTTTTTGGTAAACGGAAATTAATTGACACCACTTAAAATGTATTTAATCCAGCTTATATTTAATTTTTGTTTCAACAAAATCGGATAATTTATCTCAGATATATTTAGGCTCAAACTCGAGTGCACATATTTATTTCCTCGACAAAGGTGATACAAAACTTGTCATCACTCTGTTTTCAATAGTTCAAAAGACAAAAACAAATAGTGATCATCTCACCTTTCCTGACATAAACATTACTTTCAATACACAAACATAAGTTACATCTGAAGTTTCCGGTTAGGTCAAAACGCAGTTTGTTGATGTTCAATTAGCTGAATTTTACACTAAAATTTATTGTACAACAATTAATGGACAGCAATTAATGGATTACAAAATATCAGATAATTTTTTAAAGTCTGATCAAGTAGTTTTTCCAGTGTGATAAAAGTATAGTTTACTACTAAATTTGAAAGTGGCCTATTTGTGGCGAGATAAAGTTTAAAAGAGCATGGGAAACACTTTGAGAAATACACTATAACTGTACTAAAAAATAAAAATTATATTCATTAAAAAAATACATAGGCCTATTCCACTTCAAGTTAAAAACGAGACCATCATACTTTTTCTCCACTTGCCTCGAAGCAATTGTGACAGATGCAATTATTTTAGTTTTGGGTACAAACACAATAAACATTTTAACGCGTTTCCCCATTTTCATTTTTTAAACTTGTTGAAATATGTCACTTAAGATTGGTCACTAGATATCACACTCGCCCGCCATTGCAGACAAATATTATTAATCTACTCCTACTTAATTAAAAATTGTTCACCTTAATAACTTATGTATTTAAAATATTTAACTATCACTAAAATATATATAACGACAAGACAACTAAGAAACTAACAAAAAATTTACGCCTGTCACAGTCAGATATTGAACATCGACTGAAGTGAAGACATTGTTTTGACACTTGAGATTACAGTACATATCAATCGCCAAACAAACATTCCCCCTTCCCACCCTTCGGTGCTTGGGGTATTGTTATTGGCTGCCATTGGCTCGCCCCCCGGGTCCGCTGCATACCAAAGCGACTGGACTTTGACTTTCTCTTTCCCCACCCCCCACGATGTTTGTCACACAAGGGCGCTGACCTCTCACGTACGCACGCAACACGCAACCCTCACTGAACACGTAAAATAAATAACCCGTACTGGAAATACTTTCGCCTGACCAGAAAAGCTAACGATTTAAAACTAGCGAATATATTAACTATTCGTTGTCTATTAAACTAACTGAGTAGAAGTTATTTCCAGCTCTTTTTAAAAACTAACGAATAAAATATAAGTTAGCAAAAAAAAACTAACGAATAGCACTATTCGTTAGAATTTCTATTCTTTATTCCCAAGTATGATTGTCACTGATGATGTACTGGATGCTAAAGTTGCTAAGGAGATTCATAAAAACATCGGTTTAACAATCAAGGATCTTTCGCTTTGTTTCCCCCAGGTTGTACAGACTTTGTCTCACAACAGCAAGGCTAAATCAAATTACCTGCAATATGGGTGCAGAAAATGTTTACAGATCACCAAAAAGGTTAGAAAACGTAGGAGCTTTTATAGTTTTAGACCATTGGAGATTACAGAATAAACCGAATGCACCATTCCTGGACAGACCTTTTATTCACAACTTGGTGTCCGTGCACATTTCACACACTTGATGATAAATTTCCATAGATTTTAAAGACTGCACCTCAAACTATTCAATCGCAGCACACATTTGAACTTGACTATTGCTTCAAAGGGCGCCGCGACCACATCTCTGTGAACACATCTGAACGTGAAAGTGTGTTTAGTGGTGGCACCTTACTTTCTGAACAGCCCTTGTTTTTTGTCATAAAATAAAGTGTGCTGATTTTCTGATAACCGATTGATCGGCATTCCCATAATTCAGTGCAAGCGGGCAGGTTAAATTCCTGGCACATACATTTGAACAGTTTGGACCACTTCTTTTTGAAAGCTTTAGGTGTTGTCGATCACAGAAATTAAGGAAATAAACTAATATTTTCTTTTTGAATTCATTGTACAGATAATTGTAATGAAGGTAAGTAACAAAAAATCATTATTACTGAAAATCATTATCATTATTAGCTTGAATCATTATGAGTGATATAAAAACTACAGATTAATTAAGTAACTAATTAATATATTTAAGTATTAAGTCTTAAATGAATAAATACATTGATTTATTTTCCATAGTAATTATTGTTGTTACATTACTATAATAATCATTGAGAAATTTAAATTTGTATTTCGTCACTGTGGCCAGCAGTTACAGCGATGTATCACCTGGCGGTACTGTCACCCTGTTCAATGTTCCATTGGAAGGTTGATGCAAGCGGCCACATTCGTGTTCCCTTCAGCCACTCACAGTTCTTTGTCTTACTGGTGGCATTAAATTTAAAATTTAAATAAAATACAAAAGTTAACCAAACAACAGAAAACACTACACATTGTACACACATTGTATACACATTGTATACACATTGTAAATTACTAAACATTCACTTTATCACACCAAACTGTAACCAAAACTACATGATAATTCAGTAAAATACGAGTAAGGTAAATCAATTCAACTATTACAAACAATTTGTTGTCAAGTCTTGCTAGGAAACTCTTTATTTTTTATGAACCAGACCTATCTAATAGATGTTAAAATAAAAATATAAATTCCGGCTTTGTTCTGGAAGTAGTCCTGCAGTATGTGGTTAACCTTAAAACAATTATTTCAAACTACGTCCATATGTTAAGTTATGCCCTTTTATAATATTCTGCATGAAAATGCCTTTAATTTGACACCTCAAACGTTAAAATCCTTCAAGCTGTTATCTAGTTATGATTGTAAAAAAAAAAAAAAAAAACTGCTTGCGTTAATTGGAACGAAATATTTTCTGAAGAATCAACCATTTGATTGTGGACATTTATTTGTGTCAGGTGCTTGGAGAACTGTTTGGTTACGCCAGACCCAAACGTGCCTGTACGACTTAGGGTCATTGACCGGAACACAGGCCAGCCTCCAAAGACAAACATTACCTGGGAAATAAGGGATCCTGATGGGAAAACTATTTCTCTTGGAGATGTCATCATTCCTGAAGGAGTTAAACCCTACGAATTAAGTAAGCGAAATTAAAGAATTATTTATTAGTACATATTCTAATATTATGTGAAAACTATCTGTTTGTCTGTCATGTTCAATAATGTTTTATGAAAGTAAAATGTTTTGTCTGTAGTTTGGATTGTATTATTGGCATAGTAGGTGTGAATTAACTTAAAAAAGATAATATATTGAATGAAAATGAGGAATAATCTACTAGTAAATTTTTTTTATATATAAAGATTTATTGGTAAATATGACCTGTGGTTTGTGAAGTTTTGAGTGTTGTTATTTTGTTAATTCAACAAATCAAACCCAAATCAGGCTATAACAAAGAGTGAGTCATCTTTATCATTTGACTAGAGATAACTGTATTTTGAAGCTTCACAAAAGTTCAGTGTGATCCCGAATTCTATCTTTCTCACTACATTTAGACGAAAACCCAGAGATGTAGTCTTACATCAAAAACCAAACAGGCTTAGGATGGTTCTAGGTATGAAGTACTACTACTACTATTACCACGATATAACATTTTTATTTCATGCTATTTTGTGACTATTTTATCATAGCCTACAAGAGTTTTAACTTGTTAATGACATTTCACTCATTGTTTTTAATTTTATTTTTCAGAAATGAATGTAACTAAACTGAAGAAGTGTGTGGCGTACACGGTGTATGCACAAGGTATTTTTTTTGAATGGAATATAGATTACCAAAATTATTTTTTTATCATTTGTAGTGCATAACCTATACATACATAAATATCCTATTCTTTTACGGTTATCCCTTTGTCAACTTTGGCTATTGATACAAACTACACATTCTATCCCTATGTTAAAGTTGTCCCCAGTTTTTAAATCAAAATCATAGACAATAGACAATAGACAATGATCTTTATTTACATATTCGTTGAGAACAGTACATGCGTCAGAATAATAATTAAAATTTGTTGATTTAATATGTTGTTAAAGCTGGTTGTCAAGGAATTCTTTTTCTGAGTAGAATGGCCTTTCTTGCAGCCATGTTGTTAATTGGTTCTTGAAACGGTGAGTTGGTTCATTTATAAGTTGTTCTGGTAGGTTGTTGAAATACAGGGCCATAATAGTTGACTTTAGCCATTGACAGATTGTGCTGTAGTTCATTACTATGTTGTTTCAAATACACAGTCCTTTTTACTAAGTCAAACTGATAGAACGGCTATAGTGAGCTATAACAACTGTTATTACCCATCAACTAAATGTCAGCAACAAAAAATAAGGTAGAAAATAGAGTGTTACATTCAGTGACTGGCTTCTGCAACTATTTTCTCTTTTTATATATAAAAAAAAAAAAATTGGTGACAGCTGGGCCCTGTTTTATAAAACTACTAGTCTAGTATTTACTAGTCCATGGACTAGTAATACTAGTGTATTTTATAAGTCTACGTTTCAAAAACCTACTAGTGTAAAATACTAGTTACTAGTGTAGAGACTAGTATTACTAGTGGTTTTTACTAGTGTAGACAGCAAGTGACGTCAGCTTTGCCCAGGGGGTAAAATTCCAGGGGGATAAAATTCCGGCGACCCGTACATACTACGTAGTTCGTACTACATAGTTCTAGCATTTGCTCAAATCGAAGTGAATAAGAATTAGCTAGAACTAGGTAGTAAGTACTAGGGGTTCCCTATGTGATGTAGTAAGTACTACCTGCCTAGTACGTACTACCCCCTAGTACCTACTAGAGTGATTCACGAATAAACAAGTAAAAACAGGTGCGCGGCGATAATTAGCTGTTTGTCGTCATTCCGTTGGTCATTCCTGAGAGCGCCTGCAGTTGTATCAGACGTGTTGAGTGACTAGTAATTGCTAAAAATTTGAACGAATGGCGTGTTTGGCCTCTTGGGACATCAAAATGAAAAAGTAAATCGGTCCCGGGCCTAGGTCTTACCATGCAACCTACGGTAATAGCTACATCCTTATAGCGAAATTCGCTAAAAAGAGAAAATTACAAAAATCAATAATCCTTTTAAGATAAAAAATTATTATTTGAATTACGCTATGCAATTGATATTACTTTATAAACAATTAATTTGCAATTTTACATAATTTCTAATAGGTAATTAATATTCTATCTAATTAAAAAATATTGTTTATTTAAATCACTTTGTTATTATATATTAAAACTTATTTATGACCAATAAGAAGGTATTTTAATTTGTACAAAAAAAACTTACCTGGATCAACAAAATAACGCAGTAAAATTTCCATTTTCTGTCGAGATGACAGTACCCCGTTTTTGCCTGACAATGGTGAAGTTGTGAGAAAAGGAAGGGACCCCTCCACTTCTCACAACTTGACCATTGCCAGGCAAAAACTCGTGGTCAAATAATCAACACTATAATTCTCAAATCGCAGTAATTGCTTACAGTTACCAATATTTCTTCGTTCAAGGTATGTTTTCCTGTTACGAACTTGTAAAAACATCGCCATATTCGCAAATGACCAAACTGAAGCATGCCCTTGAGCGTACTACATAAAAATGAAGTAACTACTATGCGGACTGGTTTTTATTCACCAAAAAAAGCCTAGTAGATACTACTTTCCCTAAGTGATGTAGTATGTACTAGGGGTAGTACGAACTAGCATTTTATTAACCTGCAAGTCGTAGTTTGTACTAGAGGCTTGTTTATTCACCGAAAACCGAGTAAATAATTCGAAAAGAAGTACGTACTACCAAATACTACCTTTTATTCACCTCACCCAATGTGTTTCATAAAGTTTTACTCTTGTAAATTACACTGGTAAATACTTGCCATTTTCTAACAACCTCTCTACACCCGTATTATTTGAAGTCGACTAGTATTTTGGAAAGAGAGTTATTTCATGACTCACATCATTTAAAAAAATGAATTATTGAATTCTTTTTTCAAGTGCGAATTGGCTCAAGTTTGCAATTTAAGATAAAAATAGATCTGTGAGTGCTAAAATGATAATTATTAGATGCAAATTACAATCAATAAATGTGGCGTAGTACAAAATGAGTGAAATTGAATTTTATAATGTATGTACAATCGCCCTATTATAATAATTATAATTATAAGTAATCAATTTCTGTGAAATTTTAGTCTAAATTTACTTGAGTTAAATTTCATGGTTTTATCAACTATTTAGTTATCACAGATAAAAGATTTTTAATCTTTGAGAGAAACCAAATTAAAACCGCATACCGTATTGCATACAAAGATGTACAAAAATGTATCCAACATTGCAACATTAATCAGATTATTTTACACCCAAGGCTCTTGGTTTTATTTAAAGAAATAGTAAGACAATTTTAAAGAGGAGTTTCAATGTATTTTTTGAGGTGCTTATTATTTGCTTCCCTAAATAGCTAAAACCACTAAAACCCTGTGATGTACTAACAATTTTGTAGGCGTATATTTGATTTTTGGGCGTTGGACTGAACTTCTTATCATAAAAACATTACTTTTAATCCATTTTGGTATTCTGAATTAGTTATTCAAAGTAATAAAAAAATTAGATGTTGATTAGAGCTGTTATTTTAATGTAAAACATGTAAAAGTTTAATTAATGGAACAAAAAGTATAGTGAGTGGTGCGGATTTGAACCAGGGAGAAGCGAAAACTCTACCTCTGAACTACGCCCTGCAATTAATAGCGCCTATGCCATCTTTTACTATACTTGAAAACCTACTTTTCCATTGCTTGTAACGGCGTTGCAATTACAGTATTTGTTACATCAATAAACGTTTAGGCTTATTAATCATGGTTTGTAGACTCAAAATTAGAATGTCACCAAATGGTTTTGAACCCAAATATTCTTATGCATTCAAATATTTGAAAACATAGGTTAGGTTACTTGAAAACGTCCCAAACAAAATGTCCTTAGACGATTTAATTACATTCAAAATTTGAGCATTCTTTTCTTTACTCATAGCAAGCTTAATTTTATATTTCAGAATAAAAGAAAAAAATATACAAATCACAGCGAATGCGGCAGCAACAGATCAACTTCCGCCCAACACCCAACTGTTGAGCGCCGCAACTAGGCCTACAACCGGCTACTAAAAATCATTGACTATAAAAGTATATATAGTCAATGCTACAATCACCGTGTTGATTGCAGCGACGCGACGCCACGCCGCGCCGGCGCGTCGGCGGGCTCATTGATGAACATAAATAATAGCGGTTTGATAAATAATGTGTGATTGTTTTACCTATGTGTCTATATAGTTATTAATTATAAGAAAACACTGCTTTTCTACAACTATTTACTTTTAGTATCAAATTAAAGAAAACATTAAAACGCTTTATAAAGCGCCAGAAAACCCGTGATTGAGGTTAGAAATTTGTTTTGAGAGTTCACTTGTAAAATTGGTCACGTGACTAGTAGTTTCGGTCACGTGACTAGTAAAATTCACTAGTATTTAACAGCGGTATAAAAACGTTTATGAAACACAAATTAGTAGGACAGGTAAATACGGGACTAGTATTTACTAGACTAGTATTTACTACTGAAGATAAGGACGAAGAGGAGAAAGATGACTTCTATGAAATGATGGAGCAAGTGGTAGACAAGTTACCAAATTACGATATGAAAATTATAATGGGAGATGCAAATGCGAAAATAGGAAAAGAACCTATATGGAGAGAAGTCGCAGGTAAAGAGAGCCTACATGATATAACAAGTAGTAATGGTGTAAGATTATGCAGCTTTGCAATGGCAAAAGACCTCAGAATTATGAGTACGTCCTTTCAAAGGAAGAATATACATAAAGAGACTTGGATGTCTCCTGATGGGAGAACCAGAAATCAAATCGATCATGTGCTAGTAGATAATAGAAACAAGAGTAGTGTGTCAAATATTAGGAGTATTAGAGAAGCTGAATGTGGATCAGACCATCATTTAATACTTGTCAAACTCACTCAAAGAATATCACTGGAGATAAACCACAGCAAACAAGTTACAGAAGTTTTAGCAGTAGAAAAACTAAAAAAGCAAACCACATAAGTTAAAGAATTTAGGATCAAACTACATAACCGATTCCAAGTTCTAGGTGACACGGAAGAAACAGAGATTATGGAAGACATAGAAAATAAATGGGAAACGTTCAGAAACAGTATACTTAACACAGCAAAAGAAGTTTGTGGTAAAAAGAAGAGAGCAAGGAAGAATCCATGGTTTGATGGAGAATGTGAGCAAGCTATACTGGAAAGAAGCGAGAGGAAAAAGAAGTGGTTGAACAATAAGTCTAACGAAGATAGAGAAGAATATTTTAGAGTAAACAAAGAAACCACAAGAACCCTGCGTAAGAAAAAGAGAGAGTACTTGAAGGGATTACTAGAAAAAGCAGAAAGATGTCAGAGAGCACAAAATGCCAGAGACTTTTATAAATGTGTTAGGCACTTCAGAAGTGGATATACAGCAAATGCATTTGGCATTAAGGACAAAGAGGGCAATATTTTAGTACAGAAACAGGAAGTGACCAACAGATGGAGAGAGCACTTTGAGGAGTTACTAAATGGGGAAGAAATTGACAATAATGAAGAAATCCCCATATACCATGATGTACAACCTCTTGTTGAGAATCCAAGTATTGAAGAAGTAGAACAAGCATTAAATTCCTTAAAGGATAACAAATCTCCTGGAGAAGATGGTATAGTAGCAGAATTATTGAAAAAAGG